TGACAGCTCCACCCCATTCTTTCTCCAGGTGATTCGCACTGGAGGGGTCCCTTCCACCCTGCAGCCCAGCACTACAGGCTGACCAGGGACAGCAACATCATCGCTTGGCTCCATAGCAAATGCCAGTTCGGCAGAGTGGCCAAGACCTGCATCAGACAGAGATGAGAGGAAAAGGAGAGGTTAGTGTGGAATAAGCAGACAGAAAGAACTCCACACACAGGAGTTTCAAATTCTCTGGATCTGTGCTTCCCACCCCCATTTTTCTGTAGTTAATAGGAATCTCTTATTAATATGGAGAACTTTAGGCATTACGAAGTATCATCTTATGCAGTATTTTACTTAATCAACAGACCATCTCAGAGAGATAAACATTATTTGTACCATTTCCTCTTTTACAAGGAAACTGAAGCCCAGAGATAGTAAGCAACTTGTCCAGGTTCTCACAGTTAATGGTTGCAAACCATTTTGGATCCCAGGATCCAAAAGCAAGAATGATTTCAGCACAGCTGCTGCCAGTTCTGTGGTCACCCTGGTTAAGCACTGAAACCTCACACACTTTCAAGGTGCGATCTTAGGTAAAATATTCAGCCTGTCTTGTCTTCCTTGCCTATTTAAATCAGAACAACAATAAGACTTGTGTCATAGGGTTGTTGAATATGATTAACAGACTCAAAGGCACTATGAAGAGTTAAAAGTTCTAGACAAATATAAAGGGAGCAGAGTGTGTGAACACAGTACCAGGTACAGTCTAGGCTCCACTGCCCCTTCTCTGGGATGCTCTGGGTTTAGGTCGTTTTGCCTTTGTCATAAGGAGAGATGAGGGTACCCAATGTCAACTCAGATTTCCCAAAATTCGGGAAGAGGGAGGTTCCTAGACCCTTTACTCCCAGCAACCTTCCCACTCCTGCAGAAAAGAGATGAGCTGGAAGAGAAGGCGGAAGAGGGTGCTCCAGGAATCAGGAGAAACCTGAAGGGAAGGACAGGAGCTCCGATCCCAGGCATGATGCCAAGTTGCCAACTTCTCCAAAGAGCAACTTACCAGACCAGTTACAACTTCACTCCAGGAGGAACACCCCACCTGGGCTGAACAGACCCTCCCCCCCCGCACACACACACACCCCCTAGAGCTGCCCCCTCTCCAGCAGACCAGCGCCCTCCAGGGCTGGGGGAGATGGGAATTGGGTGGGGAGAAAGGGGGAGGAGGGTTGGGGTGATGGGCGGTCGCCCCACCCTCAGGAATACTTTAAAACATTTGAGGATCACAGCCCTTCGAACCCCTACCCATCCTCCCCATGACCTGCATTTCAGCTGCCTCAGCCCCCAACCCAACCGCGGTATAGCAACTGTGGGATAAAGTTTCTCCTAGATGCGGACGCGATAGCCTGCTTCTCAGAGCGGAGAGAAGAGAGAATACAGCCCAGATGAGCGTCTGCTGAGAACTTGGGGTGGGGGGAGAAGGAACTACATGTGCACTCCTCTTCCGTGAGACGGGCCCATTACAGCCACCGAGGGAACGGGGTGGTGTGACGGAGCGCTGGGCAGCAAAGCCGGCAGACCCCGGGGAGAGGACAGCTGCGCGTATGCACCCTCCGGGAAAGGGCGGGCACGTGGGCAACCCCGCCGCTCGCTCGCTCGCTCGCTCTCCGTCGTCTTCCCTTCCCCTTCCTCAGCTCGCGGTGTGTCTCTTGGGTCTCCTCCTCCCCACGCGCGGCCGCGGGGAATCTTCCTCCCTCTCTTCCACAGTCGCTCCCTTGCACTCCGCGTCCCAGTCCTACCTCCAAAGCCAGGGCGTGCTCGCTCCGCCGGGCGCAGCGCGCTCGGTCCCGGCCTCCGCCCCTTGGTCCGCTGTCTCCTGCCTCGGCCGCCTCGGGCGACTCTGTGCCCGCAGTCAAGCTCCGCGCACCCCAGCTCACCCCCTCGGACGGGGCTCAGTCCTGCGGTGCCCCCCGACTCGTTTCCCCTTCTCCCCCAACTCCAGCCCTCCCGCCTAGCTCTCGCTTTGCCGCGCTCCTTGCCTCTTCGGTCCGGGCTCGGGTCCTGCCCCGAGTGCGGAAGCCGCTTCGTATTGAGCCCGCTTTCTCTCCGGGAGCACCGTCCTCGGCATCCCCCTGCCGCCCCCAGCAGCCCAGCCTCGGTGTCCTCTCCCCGGGCTCCGACCCGTCCCTCTGGGCTCCCCATCTTGGGCAAGTCGCTCCCGCCCGGGGTCCGCCCGCAGGTCCGCGCCGCTCTCCTCAGGTCCGCCTCTCGCGCCCGCTTCCTCCCTCCTCGCCCTTCCCGGGGCTCTGTCCGCAGCCGCTCGGGGGGCGGGCGCCCCTGCTCACCATCGCTCGGCGCGGGCAGCAGCAGCGGCAGCAGCAGCGGCAGCAGGAACCGGGGCCCGCGCGGCGCGGGCGGGCGGCGCGGGGGCGCGGCGCGCGGAGCAGCCATGGGGCTCTCTCGGTCCGCTTGGCTCGGCGACGCGCGGCTCCAGGGCCTCTCGCGGCTCACAGCGTCCCGCGGGGCCGGCGCCGGGGCCGGTGCCGGGGCTCCGGCCGAGGCCGAGCCCGGGCAGCGGGGGGCTGGGGCCACATGCCTGCCTAGGAGCGCTGGGGGCGCCGAGGGAGCGCCGCTTGCGCCATCTTGCACCTCCCGGGGCGATCTGTCAGCCTCGCCCGGGGTGCGCGCTCCGCACTCGCACCGCCCGCCCCTCCCTCCTCTCTCCGCCCGCCGCCTGCTACCCCCCTTCCCTCCCTCCGGTCCCCTCCCCCAATCCCCTCTCCCCGGAGGCCCGGTCTGGGGAACAAAAGAGCCGGCAAGCGCTTTAAGCGGCCGGACATTCCCGGCTGCGCGGCGGACGCGCCCCCTGCGCTTTGAACTGTGGCTGGAGCGGCCGGCGCTTTCCCGGGCTGCAGCCGGTTACCCACTCCCCGCGGGCCAGCCCCGGACTTTGGGGGGCTTGGGAAGTGGAGACCAAGAGGACTGTGGAGTGGGTCCGGGCTGCGGAGAAACACGCAAAGCTGCGGGATTTGCTTTTACCCACTCTTCTGCGCCTTCCTCCACCGTGTTCAAGTCTATATTTTCGAGTTAATTCCCTAGAAGCTGCACAAAGTTATCAAAGACTCGGTTTTCCATGAGGTTTTTGGTCCTTCCACCCAAAGGCTAGGACGTTTAGCTGCAAGGCTGGCTTCTTTAGACTGAAGCGTTCTGGAGCTTGGGTGAACGGGAGGTAGGAGAGGTGAAAGGGAGCTTCCTCCAGCGCCAGGAGAGCAGACCCAGCTGGACGTTAGAGTAGCCTAGGTTCCGACGCTGGTGTCTAGCCCAGCCAATCTGAGCAGTCACTCTGAGCTCACCTGAAAAATAGTCATATCTCTCCTTCTCACCCCTAGAGACCTTTAAACCACGACAGGTCCTGACAAATGACCTGGGGACTGGAAAAGCACATCGAGTTAAAATTCCCAATAACATTTCTACGCCCAAAGAAGACTCAATGTTTCATGTCAGAGAACACATAAGGAGACAACATAGGTCCCATGTGAGAATGTTATGGAAGGTAGATCTGCCTCCTAGGAGATACACAGCCATACTAGCCCTCAGATATCTTGGATCTTCGCTGCTCACTACTAAATGATCCTCTGTTGATTCCAGCATGATGGGCTAGTGCTAGTCCAACAAAATTATTGAGCATCTAAGTTCTAGGAGCAGGAGATTTAAAGGGGGTAGCCTCTGCCTCAGTCAACTATTTGCTCCTCTAGTGTTAGACTGGGATGGCAGAGGCATAACCAAGACTCTTGATAACAACTCTGGAATCTTGGGATTAGGAATGTTACCCATATATAAAACTAACCTTGGCACAGACGAGTAAAGAAATGCAGGCCTCCAGAAAGCAGACACGTTTATTAATGATGGGCTTGTGCAGCCCAGGGACTCCTTACTCTGCGGTAGCAATTGGAAGATAAGCCTGGGAGGCAACACTTGAGGCATGTGAGCAGTGGGAGGTAATGGCGAAATGCAGGGTCAGGAGACACCAGCACACACCAAAACTCCAAACTGATTTCATTGTAAGGAAGGGCAGGGATGATGGGCCTCTACTGGCCATAGGAAAGGGAGGGAAGGGGGGCCCTCCCTAGGCCTAGTCCTGGGACTCCCTCCTGCTGGGCTTGAATTCTCAACAACTCCTTCTTGGCTTGTCCTGGACTTGGAGAGGTCAAATTGGTGTCCTGAGTTGCTGTCATTTTAAATTCATTTTGACAAGTGTTTAATTCTTCTTTATCACAACCCTTGGTCTGAGAGTGATATGCAAATAATGGCTATTCTGCTGCATGCAAAATGTGCAGTATCTCTCCGTATGATCTGTCAATTAACTCGTGTCTGGCCCCACCAACCACTTTGGGGGTGGTCCTGGGCAGGGCAGCCTCTGGCTCTTCGTTTCCTCCAGCAGAAAAACTTGCACGTTCCAGGCTCTGTAAAGATCTTAGCAGAGCAGCAGCCAACCACGATCCTGAGATGAGTGTGGAGTATGATTGTGGAGTTGTGTGTGTGTGTGTGTGTGTGTGTGTGTGTGTCCGTGTGTCCATGTTTGAATTAATGGACACAAGGGTGTTTGTGAAGGTGTGCACATGTGAGTCTCTGAGCTTGCCCATATATGTGAATGTGCAGCAATGAGCGATTTTGGAGACCAGAGTTATACAGAATAGTAATTGTGGAGTCCAAACCTCTGGATTTGTTTGTTCACTCCTCCCTTGCACCCAAGAAAGTTAAAAAAATGTGCTTCCAGGTGGAAAGAGACCCCCATCTCTTGAGGATGACCTAAAAGAGTGCCATCAAGTAACGCATCCTTCCTAAGTTTAAGTCTTTTTCCTAATTGCTTACTGAGGGAGGAAGATGGTTCAGTTCTTTCCCATGACTACCTGCTCTCTACCCTCAAAACCCAACATTTCTCATCTGGCACGAAATACATTCTCTATGCAGAAAGGTTAAGGAAATTCTAGACATTGGATCCAAAAGAGAATTCCGCATTTTTGGAAAATAGTTTATTAATTCATTATAAGGACAGATACATGATCAATGCCTTGGCTTAACACTAAAAAATGTCATATTTGTAAGGAGAAAAAAATGCTGGAAAAATAATTAAATAATATGGCATACACTAAATACAGACAAATAAATGAGCAGGTACTGATTACACTTGTCATGCATCCAAAAAAGGAGGTTTTTAAAATGAGACTCAAAAAACGTAAGGCGTCGATGGTAGGTGACAAAAGGGATTAATACCCTGTAAAAGGCCAATAGACTCTTTTCTAATAAAAATACTGCTACAAAGACACAAACCTAACACTTCCAAATTACCCAGAGCCCAAATCATATATAATACTAGTGAGTAATGGCCACTTTCTTATCAACTGTGAGTTATAGGCAGATACCAGATTTATTACTTATTTGCTTTTGAGAAACAATTTTCCACCCAACCTAATGGGTTATAAATTGTCTCATTTGCAGCTATTTAATTTAAACCAGAACCTCAGTGCCTGTTAAACAAGAACATGAAAAATGACTATGTGGTGTAATGCTAACAGCCTACTGTTAAAACAGCCATTTAATTCAGGGCAGTTTTTTTTTTTCCTTTAGAAAAAAAATCAAACCAGCAAAATAAAACGAGGCTCTTGACCTTCAGAGCAATGATAAAACATATACAGTGGTGTTAGCCACAGTAACACTGAATGCTACAGAAATAGTACAAGTGACAATTCTGTCCTTAACGTGATACAAAACCAACATTAATAATCTTTAGTGTTATCATAGGCTGGTTGAAGGAGGGGGAGGGGGAGGAAATGTAGGTGTGGATGTCAAACGTGAGTGACACCCGAGTGTAATAAACACAGATGCTGAAAGGGTCTGAGGAAGCTGCAACTCCGCTGAGAGACATTTCACCATTAAAAAAAAAGAGGAAAGATAGACTGGTTATTTCTAATTTGGCCCAGAAGCCAGAGTTAACCCTTGATGTGCCAATCAGTTAAAAAGATGCATGTAAGGAGAAAAGACCCCCAGATTCTATGCTCCTATGAGAATAAACACCATTGTTTTCTCTACACAGGAAACAGAAGTCAAGCTTGTCCCTGGTATGGTGGCTCAACAGAAAATGATTTCGGGGTTGAATGTAAAGAAAAAAACAAATGAAATGGACCAATCGCCCTTGTCTTGTGCAAAGATGTCCATTCTAGACCCCAGAGAATGAGATTCCTCTCCCCTCCCCGCCCAGATCAGCTCATATTCAAGGCTCACAGAATGGGAAGCTGTGGGGCTGCGGTGCCCCTAATTCCCACTCCCCTTCCTCCCTTTAGCTTCAGCTAGGAAGGAAGGTTCCAAACCCCTCCATCCAGCCCACCTGCCTCCCTGCATAGAAGGGAGAGATGAATTTTATTCTGAGCCTCTCTGGGTCATGCTCCCCTTTCCCCATCTCAAAAGTCCCCTTGTGTGACTTGGATTCATCACCTCCAAGGAGAGTCCTCCCATCTCAATCCCAGGGAGAAAGATACAAGGGAAGCTGGAAGGTCTTCTCTAAACCTGCACTGGGGGGTGGGCAGTCTGCCCTGGGAGGGGCCATATGGAGGCATAGAGAGAAGAGGGGGCAGGAAGGTAACCGGTGAAGTGACTGGCAGACACAGGAGTCACACTACGGCCTCAAAGCAGACATGAGGTAGTCATGTTGTTAGGGAAGGAAGGTGGGAGAACCACATGACACAGTGTGGGGAGAGGTGTGAGAGACAGGAAAGGCAGACATGCAGAGGAGACACAGAAACAGCAGAGAGGAAAGGAAAGATGATCAGGGCAGAAGAGAAGGGCATTAGAATTGGGAGAGCAAGTTGACTGGAGAGGGGCCACTAGAGCAGTGACAGGGAAGGAAGGAGGGGAGAGAAAGAGAAAGCAGATGTTCAAAACCAGGCACTTCCCAAATTACAAAATTAAACGCAGAGTTGCTCTGAGGGGAGCCAGAGTCACCCTCTCAGTTTGGGCAATGGGACATGGGTGATGGGAGGCGATTCAACTAATAAAACGGTAGGCATTCAGAGCCTACTTGCACTCAGCCCAGCCAGCCAGGAAAATGGGCTGGGGCTGTCTTTGTCAGACAGGGCACTGGAGACACTCGCAGAGTGTGTAATAAAAGGCTGGGGGACAGAGGTGGGGGGCCCACAGAGATGGGCACTGGCCACTCTGGGGCACTGTCCTGACCTGGAGGATCAATTAGGCCATAGTGACCACTGCCTGGACCAAGGTTTCCCAGCTCACCAACCAGCACACACATTATGTGCTTCCCATATATGTACATCACACATAGACATGCTTCACATATCTCTCACATATCACCTGTCACAGAGTATGTGGGAGTGAATAATCCATTTCTTCCTCTCCCCCTTGCCAAAGCACCCTAGGAGGCTCCAAAAGGCTTGATGATATTCAGTATCTGCAGGTACACATGTGTACATGCATGGCCACGTGTCATATGCCATAATCCATATCAGCCTGCCCCCACTGCCCCTCCAGGGGAGCTAAGCAGAGGAGGAGACTGGGGCTCTGGACAAGCCTGGGCTGGCTCCTAGAGGGCAGGGGGCCTTTGGCTGGCAGCTGTTCCCAGGGGCCTCCTCCAGCACCTCGCTAGGCTGGAGGTCCGGGTAGGGGCAAGAAGGTGCCTCTGGTAGGCAGGTAAGTCTGTCTGGCCCAGTGGCTGCCTGCTCACACCTTCCCAGCTCCCTCTCCAGCCAGTCCACCCCTTGCTCTAGGTCTACAACACCGGAAGTGAGGTCAGGAGCTTCCAAAGGCAGGGGATCCTCAGGTTCCAGGTCTTGGAGGTGGAGGTCAGGATTCCCGGTGGAGGCACTAAAGTCAGAGTGGACAATGACTTCAGCTTCCACCTGGTTCCTGCAGGCTGGGGGTGGCTTCTTCCTCCCATTGCCCTGGTCAGAGCAGAGAACACAATGACAGGGTGACCATCGGTCAGGCCGAGTGGCTCAGTTAAGAGCACGAGCTCTGAGCAACAGGGTCTCTGGTTCGATTCCCACATGGGCCAGTGAGCTGTACACCTGAGCTGAGCTGCCAACAGGTGGCAGGATGGCTCGGCTGGTGAGAGCACGTGTTCCTAACAACAAGGTTGCCTGTTCGATTACAACAGGAAATGGGCATGGGACGGTGGGCTGTGCCCACCCGCAACTAAGATTGAACATGACATCTTGAGCTGAGCGCCCGGAGCTGCCAACAGGTGGCCAGATGGTGACTGGACTTGGGAGCTGAGCTAGCTGCACCCTCCACAACTAAGATTGAAGGACAACAACTTAGCTGTTCCCCTTCCCCAATTCCCCAACACTGTTCCCCTCCTCCAATTTCCCAATAATCTTCAAAAAAAAGACAGGGTGACCATCACTGAGAGTGATCATCAGAAGAATGACCAACATACTTGGGGTGGAGAGAGACTGACACTCACTCTCTCCCAAGCACCCCAGGGCATATATCACATGGGAGCTGGTTAAGGAAGCAGGCTAACTGTCCTACAAGAAATGGTGACTGGACCCATGGGAAGGCAGGGAAAAATGGAATTTGCCCTTGCCCAGGAGTTCCAGAAGTACCAGATTCGGTCAGGGCCTCGGTGAATATGAGGGGCTCAGGCCAGGCCCACCCTCAGACCGGTGGTAACTCTGCTCTGGCACTCTTAGGTCTAGTTAGAGGAGGGACTGTCCCCAAACCAGGAGAAATACAGATTCCTGCAAAGTAGCCAGCCTTCTACCCACTCACCTTTAGAGGCTCCAGGGGTCTCCTGGCTAGACCTCTATCCCCAGGGAAGCTACCATCAGGGGTCACCAAAGAAGTCACTACCGCTCTTCACAAGCGTAGGGACCCTTCTCTCCTTTCTTCCCCTTTCCTCCCAGGACACTGACCTTGATGGCATCATACACCAAAGCCTGCAGCAACAGCGTCTGCCCAGTTCCAGCAGGGGGCAGCAGGGCACGGGTCAGAGAAGGCATGGGGCCTGCCTGGGGCAGTTCACAGCCTGCCCAGGAACCTGCCCAGCTGGGTCCACCTGGCTGAGCCCATGAAATCTGCCCGGGGAAGAAAAGCAGGAGCATTGAGGGACTGGCTGGGTGAGGGAAGTAGATGGAGACCCCTCCACAGACGCTGGCCTCCTTGCCTTCTTCCTCGCAATGCTGTGGGCAGGAGCGCAGAATGGGCTGAGTCTGGGGGTGAAGTGAGGATGGAGAAGTCCTCTTGCAGGAAAGCCTAATACCAGTGTTTTGGCAAAGCCCAGAGGTTTCCGAGCCATACAGGGTCTCCCTTCAGAGAGGCGGGGAAAGGGTGATGAAGGACTCGGGGTTGAGCAGGCTGGTCAGAGAAGGGCGGATGAGCCCCGCTGCCCGCACGGAGGGGGCCTGCCTTGTGTGGCCCACCTTATCTGGGTCCCAGTCTCACTTGGCTACAGCCAAGCTGACCAGCCTCTTCTCCCCATACTGGGGAGGGCTGGGTCTTATGTGTCTCCCCGGCTCCCAGGATGAGGAGGGATCTGGGTGCTCTGGCCACCATGAGTTACTTGCAGAAAGCCCATCAGGGACCCGCCTCTCCTTCCATGAAAACCAGGCTAACCTATTCTGCCAGGGATGGAGGCCCATCTGCTTCCCAGGCCTGCCAACCCTTTCATGGAGGAGGGAGAGACAGTGCCTTTTCTTCTGCAGCTGGTCCTGTGAACGGGAGGTTGGGGTGCCAGGGGTGGGGGTGATCTCTTACAGGGTCGCCCGTTGTGTTCTCGCGCCCCCTGGTGTCCTATTTAGGAGTGGGCCACAATGTGGGGCTCTAGCCTGCTGAGGCTCCAGGCTCACCTTTCTCTTGGAATGACTCCGGCAGTCTGAAACACCACCACCCATAAGGCTGTGTACTTCAGCCCTGTCCTCGATGTCTGAGGGTGGTGGGGACCAGTCCGGGGGATGGGGGTGCACAAGGGACTCCAGTTCATGGGTAGCTGGAGGGCTGGGGGGTCCAAGGCGGGCTCGGGAGTACAGCGCAGGGTTCCCAGCAGTGGCAGTGGAGGACAGGCCTGGGAGTGCTTCCCTGGAAGGGAAGATGGACACTGCGGTCAGAGAGTGAGGGGTGGGGGCGGGACTGGGACTTAGTCCAGCCTATGTCCTTGCCTATCTCTGGGACTTGGTTTCCAGTCTGTGCAATGAGTAAGAAACTGTCGAAAACAGCTACGACACTCCTAATGGGACCCTTCCTCCACTGGCTCCAGACATCTGGAGATTTGGAGTCCCTCTTTCCAAGATGCTAACAGCTATGGAGGAAGTGGGAGACAGGCAGCTCTGCCTATGCATGCCCTTGCTGGGGGTACGCTAGGGGCTCCCCTAAATCCACTCCCCACTCTCATGAGGACATCACCCCTAATCCCTTCATTCCAGAGTACTAACTTTAATGAGAATTCTGGGGGTGCCTACAAGTCATGGGCACCTTCCCTGCTCTCTCCTCTCTGTGGCCCTTCTGGAAATCTCTCTGCAGTTAGACTGACTGACTCCTTTGCTCACCTGTGGGGGCTGCGGCGCAGGCCAGCACACATGCAGGCCAGGAGGCAGAGGAGGCCCAGGCAAACACCCACGATGATGCCTGTGACTGAGTGCACATCCAAGGAGTCTGGTGGGGGAGAGAGAACAGGTCAATCAAGGACAGGAGAAGGCCCAGGGTTCATAGGTCAGGACTTCGTGTGGTTTCCTCAGGGGACCAGTGGCTGGAGTCTCACTCTTTGGACACTCAAAATTTTCTGATGCAAAGTCTCACAGAGACCACAGCTACCCCTCTCCAACTGTCCTCCCCGCTTGACATCCAGAAGTTGTGGTCCCTCCCCATCAACCTGCCTGCTGACCAGGGACGGTTTCGTGGGCATGCAGTAAGTATAGTCGTGCGGGCCCCATGCTTACAAGGGTTCTGTGCTTGGTTTAATGCTTTGCTGTCACCATCTTGAAACTCTTCCTAATTATTTAATAAGGAGCCCCTCAGTTTCGTTTCACACTGGACCCTGCAAATTATGTAGCCAGTCCTGTTGTCCACCCCATAAAGCTCATCACCTTTCCAAGCCGATCCTCCAATCAAAGCAATCTTCCAAAGAAACCAAGCCAGTCTCCCAAAAATCTGACCTCTCAACTGAATCACCACTGAACTACTTCAAATTTGTCCTCTCTGCAGCAAACTAGAAGGGCAGTTGTCCAAAACAATGAAAGTGTAGTCATGCCCTTGGAAGAAATGACTTTAGGGTTAGAAGTCAACTCCTGGGGCCTCTGGGGACCTCGGGCTGCACCAGCATGGACCCCACTCTTCCCTTCCTGCCCTCTTTCTTACCTGAGAGCTTCTCCTGGAGAGTGATCACATCCTGCAGGCCAGAGAAGGGCCCAGGTCCCACCTCTGTGCGTGCCCCCATCTTGAAGAAGTACCTAGTGTCACTCTCAAGGCCACGTACCTCTGCACTGAAGATGTTTCCTAGGAGGTAGGGAAAGCAGGGCTACTGAATTGAGGTGGGGGGTGGGATGCAGGGATGCTCTGGACAGCAAGACTGAGAAAGTCTGCTCCTCCCACTCAGGCAGTAGCTTCTGCTTATTCCTTCTAGAAACCCCTAGAACAAACCTCAGCCGCACTTTCACTACTAACCCAGCCAGTGGAGAGGAAATGGGGGAGAAGGTGGGGAAGCTCTTGCTTCAATGCCCTGGGGTGGGAGCCCTCACCCTCCGTGGTGAGCAGGGTCCACTGATGCTCAGGCTGGGTGTGGTTGTTGCTGTATAGGATCAGATATTCCACAATCTCCCCATTGGGCTCCGTGGGGGGGCACCAGTGCAGCAGAACAGTGGATGGTGTCAGGGAGCTCAGGCGCAGGTCAGATGGGGGCGTCGAAGGCCCTGGGGTGCAGGAAAGAGGCAGGGTCACTGAGAGCCACAGCTCTGGGGGCAGCTATGAGACAGGGCATGAGGCGTGGCTTCTCTTCTCCCTCCTCAGCTGGGACAAATCACAAAGCAAAATGAGGACTCGTCTCTAATTTGGGAATTTCTGGAAAACAGGTGGGGAGGGGGGCTTCACCACTGTGCTCCCCTCCCTGAAATTCTTCTCCACTCCCTGGAGCAGAGGTCCCCAAACTTCCACAGTCAGATACTTTCAAGGGTGGAGGAGATTGTCTGATATTCTAGCGACCTGGGGGCAGAGCTTAACGTTTTTTGGAAGGCTTACATTTTATTTTAATTTCTCAAACTAAGTTTGCCATCTATTCTATGGCATTGAATTTATTTAAACATAGTATTTAAATTATTTATCATTTGAATGTCCTAACTCCCCTTGCCACCCCAAATCTTTCAGTCAATTGGTTGATGCTTTGTGTAGCCTTTGTGCATGCCCCCGGTATAGGTCCTACAGGGTCACGGGCACCCCACTGTGAGGAGTACCACCTCAGCGGACTCTGTGTTTTGTTCTGAGAGAAGAAACTGATTCTGGGAGGTGGAGGGGGTGGTGAATGAGGAAGGGTGAGAAGGAGGAGCACAAGGTGACTGATGAGTTGGAAAGGGACAGATATTTGGGGGTTCAGGTCTTCAAAGCCTGACAGAGGATGGAATGGGAACCCAGGGCTCTAAGGTGTAGCAGAGCCATAACATTACAGGCTGCCAGAATCCCCTTTGATCCTGGCTGACTCTTTGCTTCTCAGGCTCCAGTTTCCACATCTAAAGAAGAACCATTCCAGGGCGGCCGGTTAGCTCAGGTGGTTAGAGCGCAGTGCTCATAACTCCAAGGTTGCTGGTTCGATCCCCACATGGGCCACTGAGCTGCACTCTCCACAACTAGATTGAAACAACTACTTGACTTGGAGCTGATGGGTCCTGGAAAAACATACTGTTCTCCAATAAAAGTAAAAAAAAAAAAAAGTGGATACAATAAAAAAAAAAAAGAAGAAGAAGAAGAACCATTCTCCTCTGTAGCACAGTCAATTGTGCTGGGGTCCCAATATCATAAAGTCTCCTTTCAGGAAACATCAGATCTCCCTAAACTCCATACACAGTTTAAGACCATAATAACTGAGGTATAGGCAGGTGAGAAACAATTTGAAAGCAGTTTTTAAAAAAGCAAATTCATGAGAACGGAGTGCCTCCACACCCCACCCCACACACATCTTCCTATTTCAGGTCCTGGGACAAAGGTCTTCTGTCGATGGGAAGGTGAATAGTCTTAGGACCGGCAGAACCAAAGAGCCTCTGCTGTGAGAACACAAGTCCATTTGTTTTGAAATGCCATTTCCAGAGGGTTCCAGAGTCACAGACTTGCAGAGCAAATGGTCCCATCCTCTTTTTTTTTTTTTTTTAGCTGAGCCATCCTGCTACCTGTTGGCAGCTCAGTGGCTGCTCAGCTCGGGCTGGACTCGAACCGCTGTTGCTCAGAGCTCAAACTCTTGAGCGAGCTCTTAACCAACTGAGCCACTCGGCCAGCCCCCATCCTCTTTTTATAGATGAGGACAGAGGCCCTGGGTAAGGAAGAGACCTGCCTAAGCCTCCGTGTGTCAGGCGCAGGATGGGGACCCAAGTGCATAATACAGATCACCTGCCATGCCCACCTGGCCCCTCTTCACCAGCTCAGTGAGGTCTTGGCACAGCCTCTTAAAAGAAGCCACTCCCCTAATTCCTGTGTTATTATGTTTATGGGTAAATGGCTAAGACCAGTACAGGACTGCCCTACTTAAATGCAAAGCAAATAATAGACACTGATGAGGTTCTGAGCCTCCTTCAGAAAAGAGGGTTTCTGGGCAAGAAGGAGTTGGGTAAACGATAGACTGGTGTCAAGAGGGTCGAGGCGGTGGGGCGGGGGCGGCACTCACGGTCAGGCAGGGTGGAGCGCTCCACCACAGAGCCGAAAGGCCCATCCATGTCCACACCGTGGGATTGTACTGCAAACTCGTATTTGGTGAATGGCTTCAGCCCACCAATGAGGATGTCTTCTCCCGAGCTGTCAAGGCAAGAAACGTGACTAGTGCTCTTGGGCACACCCAGGAGCAAGGAAGCTCCTCCAAAACTACTCCCGTGCCCCCGACCCTAGCCCCAGGCCCTGCCCAGGGAGTGGAATCTGCTCTCTGGCATAGGTGCCACTAACCTCAGCCAGAGAACCTACAGAGAGGTCTGGATGTAGACTGCTCCCAGGGTATCATGCTGCATGTTCACTGCCCAAGCCAGGCCCCCTCCTCCAGGAAACCTTTCTGGATTAATCCAAGTCATCCTTCACCCAAGGAAGCATCTCTGGCACATCTTTTCCTTGATTTAATTTTACTGTAGCTGCCATTGTACACATCTATTGTTTTTTATGCGATGTTTCCTCTGCCAAACCAGCAGCTCCTGAGAACTGGGGGTCCTCTTAGGAGAGCAGCTGGGCGGTCTCTTCCCCCATCATATTGGGAGCCAAGCCCTCTGAGGTTGAAGAAGCAAGTCTGTTTGCATCATGCTCCCAAGGGTTCAGTTCAAGGCTCTGTTGTAAGGGGATGGAATAGGATAGACTCTCCTTTTCCACCATCAGACCCTCATTGTGCCTCCAGGATAACACATGAGCCCCGAAAGGTTCCTGAATCCCCCCAGGGTCCCTTTCCTCATCACCACCTGCTGCCTTCCTCCCCGCTTTACAGGATGAGCCCCTCTTCCTCACCTGGTGTAATAGGTGACCAGGGAGGCATTCCTAAGCCCCCAGGGGCTGAAGCGCACAGTGTAGTTGACAATCTTGACCGTGGTGAAGTCCGGTTTTTTCCACCGAAGCCAGATGGATGTGGAGCTGTTTGATTCCGCATGGACATGGGCAGGGGGCAAGGGTGGTCCCCTCTGAATGGGCAGGTCTAGAAGGTAAAAATTAGAGTGTGGGGAAGGGAGGAAGAACACTCATCCTAAAAATGTATTCTTTACAGTTCTCAGCTTATAGTTATTTTCTTCCGCCCTCTCTCATTTGCTCCTGCGAGTTGGGTAGCATCGTACCCACTTCACAGATGAGGAAACTGAGGCTCCCAAGAATTTAAGTGATTTTTGCCAAGGTCATACATACAGCAGACTGTAATACAGAGGCAGCAAATCATGGCAATTAAGAGCACAGACTCTGGAGCCAGGCTGTCCTGGTTCAAATTCAGCTCTGCCACTTACTAGCTGCATAACCTTGGAGAAGTTACTTAACCTCTCTGTGCCTCCATTCCCTACTCTGTCAGTGGGGCTGATAATAGTATCTAATTCATAATGTTGTTATGACGATTAAGTTAGTTAATATTTGTAAAGTATATAAAAAATATCTGGCAATGGTTGTGTCTCCCCCAAATTTATATTGTTGAAATTTGAATATATGGTGGGATGTTCATGAGTGGGATTAGTTCCTGTCTTTGTTCATCCAGGCTGCTATAACAAAGTACCATAGACTGGGTGGCTTATAAACAACACACATTTATTTCTCGGTTCTGAGGGCTGGAGTCCGAGGTCAGAGCACCAGCATGGTCATGTTCTGGTGAGAGTCCTCTTCCTGGTTGCAGACTGCCGACTTCTCATTGCATGGTCACATGGCAGAGAGCAGAGAAAGAAAGCAAGCTCTCTTTAGTGACTCTTTTTTTTTTTTAGATTTTTTTTTTTAATTGGGGACTTGGGGGCGGGAACAGCGCTGGGGAAATGGGGGAAGGGGAACAGACAAGTTGCTGTCTTTTTGTTCTTCAGTCTAGTTGTGGAGGACGTTGCTTCACTGGCCCATGTTGGTATTGTGATCATTGCGCTCTTCCCGGCTGAGTCAGTTGGTTGCTGGCCATTGGATGGCCGCTCACGGCAGCGCACGCCAGCTGCTGGCCGCTCAGGCTGGCTGCCGGCCACTCACAGTAGCTTACGGCAGCCCACTGCAGCCCCACTGTAGCCTATGCCGTCACAAGTGACTCACAGCAGCCCAGCTGCTCAGAGCTCCCGCTGCCAAGCCAACTCTTAGCCAAGGAGCCACTCGGCCGGCCCCCCTCTAGTGACTCTTATAAGAGCACTAACCCCATTCATGAAGGCTCCACCCTCCTGACCTCATCTAATCCTAATCACCTCCTAATACATCACAATGGAGGGTATGGTTTCAACATAAGAATTTTGGAGGGACACAAACTTTCAGTCCCTAACAGTGCCCTTATTGAAGAGATCCTCAGAGAGCTCTCCAGCCCTCTTTCTGCCATGTGAGAGGACACAGCAAGAAGATGGCCTATGGTCTGTGAACCAGAAAGTGGGCTCTCACCAGACACTGATTCTGCCAGTGCCTTGATCTTGAGCCTCCAGAACTATGAGAACCAAATGGTGGTTGTTTAAGACTATGGTATTTTTGTTATAGTAAGTATTATAGGATGATGTGTTTATTACATAAACATAAAATAACATAAACTCCATGACAGCAGGTATCTTACTTGTGTTGTTCATCACTATATTCCCAGAACAGAGCTGGCACATAGTAGATGCTCAGTAAAAGACTTGCTGAGTGAACAAACTGGAATTAGAACTCAAGTTTCTTGGCCCTGGTTAAGTGCTCCTTTCACTAAACCACATGGTTGAAAATCAGCCTGGGAAGTTAGGGGTGAGGGAGTGTCATGATAGGCAACAGAGGTGTCCAGTAGAGGGCCACAGGCAGTGCACTGCAGTAGAAAGACTTTTGCCTGAAAGCCAGAGGTCCTCGTGCCAGTCTAGGTTCTGTGAGGCCTTGGACAAGTCGCTTTACCTCTCTGAGCCTCAGTTTCCTGGTGGGCCACATGGAGATACTCTCCCTTCATAGAGTGGAGGGATAATCTGACAGTGTGATGTAGGTGGAGATGTTTTAAAAATTGTCTTAGAGTCAAATTTGGGGTTAGGAGTCACTGATCAACTATGGGGTTTCTCTCCATCCTACCTTCCAAATCGGCACTGCTCCTGGGTAATGAAAATACTGTAGTAGACCTAGAAGACAGTGCACAAACTGGAGCTTCTTTCTATGACAGAGGCTGTCTGGAGCCAGAAGAGGATCCCTGAGTCTCGGAGCATGCATTTGGGGGTGGCTGGGGCTACCAGATGGCCTGACCACCAGGGCTGGCCCCGAGGAAAGGGAAAGGAAGCCACACACAGACCCCTTGCCTGAGCCCCCCTCACCTGGTGTGGGAGCCTTCTCCGTCTTGCCCTTCCACACTGCTGCATAGCCGTCCTCATGTTTGTTGAATGCCACAAGCTTCACTTCATACAGCCGGCCAGGGACTGGGGAAGGTTACAGGGATCACTTACTAGCTAGAAGAACCTGTGGGGTCACTCTCTTGTCCCCAGAGAGAATTCCATCTCCAACTCCTGCACCCAGCTTGTCCAGTCCCCCACTGAAGCTACATCCGTCTCGTTCCCTCCCCGCAGTCCTCCTCACCTAACTGAGTCAGCTCATACTGCTTCACTTTCTTCTTGAGGCGGACAGGCCCCACATCCCAAGCCTGGTCTCCACGGACCCCTGGGGTGCTGTCACCATTGGCCTCCTCCTCGGCCCCCACCTCCCGCCAGTACAGCTTGTAGCCAGAGATCTGGGCAGGGTGAGGGGGAGGCTGCCACGACACGACCAGGGACTCCATCCTTGCCCGTACCTTCAACTCTGCAGGGGCAAAAGGGACTGGGGACAGAGATGCAGGATGGGGAGAAAGAGGCCAGGGATGGGAGAGGGGGAAGAGACAAGAGGAAGAAGCAGCAGGAAGACCGTCCTTGAGTGAGAGCCTTGCCAGCTTTCTCCCAATGCAAAACCGCTCAGCCACCACCCCGAAGTGCCAGGCCAGGGCTGGTCTAGAGCTGAACTCACTACCCCTTAATCCCAGAATGCTGAGAATGGAGGGATGTCTCCAGAGCATTTGCACAGTGGTTAGCAAGGAGCACCTCTGGGGCAGGGCTGACAGTATCTAACACAGAGTAGGCTCTATAATTCTTCTAAAGGAGTGAATGCATGGATACTAAACTGATAAGGGGGTCACAAGGGTTGCTAAGGCCAGGAAGGAGGGATGGAACCATTAGAGTGGAGGCTCTCCTTGGAGCCTAAAAATTGGGGGCTTACTATGTGTTAGACACTGTTCTAAGCACTCTGTACACACATTTTAACTTCATTCTCACAACCTTAGAAAGCAATGAAAATATCATTATCCCCATTTTACAGGCAAGAAAACCGAGGCTCAGAGAAGTTAAGTAACTTGCCCAAGGTCGCACAGATAGTACGTGCGCCAGGTTTTGTCTGCATTTAATCACTTGACTATCAGGCCTCTCAACAAAACCAATAATCATAATCATGGAAGCAGCTGCTATTTAACAAATTCTTATTGTGTACTAAACACTTTGTTTACAATATTCTATCAATTCTCATTCCTCGATTGGCAGCAAATAAAGCCTTAGAGTTGTGAACAGTTTGTTGGAGGTCACACAGCAGAAGAAGGGACACTTGAACACAGATATATCTGCAAAGGCTAGCTCTTTGCCTCTACACCCATCCTCCCTGACCCATCAAGCAGGGGGAGCCATGGAAGGTCTGCGATGGAGGAGGTGGTTGGGTCTGGGTTCCAAGAGCACACATACACCCACATAATCATGCACACCACCTGCTCCTGTCCCCTCCAAGCCCGTACCATGGCTCTGGTTGTGCATACTGGGTGTTCTGTGCTGCATCCACTGGGAAGGTGCCCCGTAGCCGGCCCCCGTGCCGGCCGAAATCCGTACTCGATACACCTTGTTGGGCAGAAGTGAGTTCAGCGTAAGCTGCGTGTCATTCCCTGGCACCTCGGTGGAGAAAATCTGATCTGCTGGGACAGAAAAAACTGGCTGCTGGGAGGCCACCTGAGGACCACGCCCCTAAACTCCCCTACATCAATTCTTCCATCTCAGGTCCTGGTTCCTCAGTGCCCACTGGAGCCTGAGGCCCTCTCACCTGGGCCGACTCCATGGCTCCAGGGCTGATTCCTGGGCTTCACACTCCAGCTGATGTAGCCATCAGCCTTGGCTCAGAGTGGGGTAAATCATGGCATGCTGTCTCTACTTCCCCATAAACTTTCAATGATCGCCCCCCACCCCCCCCATACACACTAGGCACAGGCACAGGGGTTGCCTATGAGGGCCTTCGGGCACCACCTGCCTTCCAAAGCCCTGACAACCACCCCAAGCCCCCTGCCTTACCCTTCCCTCCCACTTCACCTCACCTTGGCCCCCTAGCCACTTGCCTTCTCCTAACTCTTCATCCCTTTCATACGCCTCCCCTACATTGCCAGAGATCTTCCCTAACACACCCTCCTCAATGCTCCATTCCCACAAGCACTGCCCCCTACCTCCCTATCCCTCATCTGCTCTTTGAGCTAGCAGGGACTCTAGGGATCACCTGTCTCATTTCACAGATCAGGAAATTGACACCAGGACTCACAGGAATCAGCAGGATGACACACTGTAGCTGTAGAGGAGGTGGGGTCAGAACCCAGGCCTCCCTCTGCCTTTAGCTAGCCCTCCTCTCACTTCAGCTGGGCCTACCCCTAGCCCACACTCCTTTTTTCCAGGTTCACCTTTCCCTACCCCCACCTCCTGGCACTGTCTAATTTCCTCACACTTCCCCCCCACAGTTCAGGTTCTCATTGGCTCTGACCAACGCTTCACATCCACAACGCCCAGGCAGGTGAAGCCGGTACCCTGCCCCCACTCACCTTCCTTTCCCAAACCGTACTCTATCTTGTACTTCACCACCTGCCCATTGCTCAGGCTGGGAGGCAGGGGCAGCCACGCCACCCGGATGTCCGAGGGGTTGGGGCTGGACAGGGAGAGCTGGGGTGCTGCACTGGGGACTGAGACAGAAGAACATCAGCATGAGCTCTGCTCCACCGACGTGGAAGGTGAGGCCCAGGAGCGGTCAGAGACTTGCCCAGGTCACACAGCAAGTCAGAAGTAGGCCCAGGACCAGGATCTGAGGGAGGAAAGGGAGCCTCTCAGGGGAGCCCCAAGCTGGAGAGGAGGGACATCCTTCCCACCCTGAAAAAGGTTTGGGGCACAATCTTCCACTTCCAGTGGGTTGTCACTGGTCCCTGCCTGACTGGATGGTATCTGGGGGGTCAGGGAGAAGGGCCACATGATGTAGGGAGTCTCAAACTGGGATCTCAAGTCCCAGCTGTGCTACTGACCCTGGGCAAGTCACTCTCATTTTCTGGGCCTCAGTCTCCCCAACTGTAAATTGGGGAGAAGAACCCTTGCCCAGCCCCTTTCAGGGCACAAAAGATGACACCAGGCAGGTAAAAGTGCCTTGGCGTACACTAGTAAAGAGCAGCCAAGCTACCACCCCCAGGGAATTCTCTGGGCCCCAAGGTGCCGATCGCAGGTGCAGAGGCCCTACCATCATCCAGTGTGTGGACCAGTGCTGGGGTGGAGGTGCGACTGGCCCCCAGCTGGGAGTAGGCCACTACGTAGAACTCATAATCGGTGTTGGGTTCCAGGTCCCGAACCTGTAGCTCTGTGGTGTCATTGTTCACTGCAAACTGGTATTCCACATTGTCCATGCCTGGGGTGGTGACACAGAGGACAAAGGGACTGTCACAGGACTACCCCCAGAGGCCCAAGAGCTGGAGGCTGTTTAAGGGTCCTTCATATTGTCCCGGTATCTGGAATAGTCAATTTATAGCTAAATCATCCAAGATAATTTGAGCTGGAGAATATAAACTCCCCTGGCTTCTAGTCCCACTGTATTAATTCCTCCGCTGGTTAGAAAGTTCCTTCCGGCATCTAATTGAAGTGACTCCTGAGGCTCTTAATAAGCTGGCTCCAGGAATGCCAAGGCATTCCTGGGAGGAGAAGCATCCTCTCCCTCCTCTTTCTTAAACTGTGCTGGGGGCGGGAGGAGGGTAGGTGGGAAGGTGCCACACCATTAACCCTTCTAGTACCAGACCTAACTCATATCTATGCGAGCCTCTTCTGTGGGCTCCCACCCCATCCCACCCTAACCCCAAAGGTACCAGACAGGAAACCCTTCAGGCATCCAACTTGTTCCCGCCCTCACAGCGCCCCCCGCCCCCCCGCATGGACCTTTGCAGGGGCGTGTCAGCCACACCCCACCCGACCCCGCAGACGTACCCTGAGCCTTCTGGTAGTGAAGGGAGAAGCCAATGATCTGCTCGCTGTGCAGCTCGGGCCGCTCCCAGGCCACCAGCACGGTGGAGCTGCTCAGTGGAGTGGCCGTGACCCGCGTGGGAGCGCTGGGCAGCCCCTCACGCACCACTACTGCCAGCGGCGCGGCGGCGCACGCCGTGCCCGCGCCGTTCTCGGCCACGCACTGGTAGTAGCCGGCGTCCTGCAGGCCGATCTGCGTGATCACCAGGCTGCTGCCGCCGCCCTGCACCTTAACGCGCCCGTTGGGCCGCAGCGGCGCCCCGTCGTGCAGCCAGCGCAGCGTGGGCCGCGGCTCCCCGGACGCGCGGCACACGAAGCGAGCGGTGCTGGCCCGCGTCCGCGACAGCGCCTCGGGCGCCTGCGAGATGGCAGGGGCCGCTGGGGGCGGGGAGGGGTACGCTGACCGCGCGCTTCGGCCCCTAGGGGATCTGACCCTTTCTCCAAATACCCCTAACCGACTCCCATCTCCCCTCCAGTCACTCTAACCTCTCCTTGCCTCACCCCTTCCCCCAAATACTCTAGTGCAGCGCAGCTCTCTACCTCTTCTCCTGCATTTGCCCCAGCCCCACGCTGACCATTCTCTTCTCCCCGAATTGTCCCAGGCCTCCTCAGCTTCCCCTGAGTACCCTAGCTCCTCCTGATTTTACCCCCACACCCTCATTTATCACCACCTCCTTCTCTCCTAAAGTATAGTGTCTCCCACACCTATCAGATTTATCCCTCTCCAGAGTTGTCCCTCAGTTTTCTTAGTACAACTCAGACCACTTCACTATCTCCCCCAGTAACCTCAGTCCCACCCCTCGCCCATTACCTAAGTCCCACTTAGACCACCTCTCCCCACCCTCCAATCCCCTGATCACCCCTCTTTCTCTCCCTGACTCAGTTCTCCCATTCCATCCTCCAATCTCTTTCCACCACTTCCCCTCATCCAATTATCGTCTGTCCCCTCCAAGCCCCCCTCCCCTTACAAATGACTCCTCTCACTGAGCTCGAACCCCAACCAAGCCCTGCCTCGTTTTCATTCTCCAAGATCACCCTTCAGTTCCTTTAACATACCCACTGGCCCACTTCCCCTCTCCGCATTCTTCCTTCGGCCCCAGCTAACCCGCTCCAACGCGGTCTCCCCGCACACCTACTACCCCAGCCTTCATTCACTCGTCTCACCCAACACGCGGAGCTCAGCGGCAGCAGTGGCGAAGTCGCGCGTGCGGGGCTTATTAGCACGACAGACGTAGACACCAGAGTGCCGGGGCTGCGCGCTGCTGATCAGTAGGTTGGTTCGGCCCAGGACGATGACATCCGTGGAGATGGACTTCCCGTCTAGGGGGGGAGACGGAGAGCGCTGCAAGGGAGAGCTGAGGACTGCCCTTCCGCCCACTCTCC